AAGGGGGAACCGATTACAAGGATCTACATATAACCTCTTCCCTGGGGGATGGACAACAGAAAAGTGGGTGAAGGGAGACATCAGACAATGTAAGATATGACAAAATAACAATAATTTATAAATTAACAAGGGTTCATGAGGTGGGGGGCGTGGAGGGAGGGGAAAAATGAGCTGATACCAAGGGCGCAAGTAGAAAGCAAATGTTTTGAGAATGATGATGGCAACTAATGTGCTTGACACAATGGATGGATGGATGGATTGTGATAAGAGTTGTACGAGCCCCCAGTAAAGTGATTTTTTTTAAAAAAGGGTTCAACATTTGATCTTACAAATACATACAACCCTCTGTATTAAAATAATTATTAAAGATAATTTCACTAACTCCAAATAAACAAGAAACAGAGCGGGAGGAGAGGTACATCTCTATTACTCACTCCCATCCAGTCAATTCTGACTGATAGCAGCCTACTGGACAGGTAGACTTGCCCCTGCAAGTTTCTAAGACTGGAGCTCTTTTTATGGGTTTTGTTTTTCATAAATCATTTTATTAGAGGTTCTTTCAGCTCCTCTAAGAATGCAGACATCAGTTGTATCAAACCCATTTGTACACATGTTGCCATCATCATTTCCAAAACATTTTCTTTCTACTTCAGCAAGACTGGAACTCTTTATGGGAGTGGAAGTCCAGTCTTTCTCTGCAGGAACCCTTGGTGGTTTTTTGCTGCTGACCTTGCAGTTGGCAGTCCACATGTCACCCACTCTACCCCAAGGCCTCCCTTTAGCCTCTATGCATCCTATTTAACTAGAGTAAGCACTTTTTGGTCATTACCTGAGCTCTTTCCAGCTCTATTTTCTTCTCTGCCTCAAATTCCCTGGATCTCAGAACTGGGGTACTGATTTAGTGGTAGGGGCACATGAGAGAGGTTTGCGACCGGCTGAACCCAGTGGGGACACCAGACGACAACAGTTTAATTGGTGGTTTTTAAAGTCTTTTTTCCTTTTTATATTATTTCTCAGGGGGACTTTTTAAGGGCCCATGCTGACATCCAATTATAATAGTTTTCCTTCTTTTAAAACCAGCTGAATACATTTCCTTTCATTAAAAGTACATATGTACCTTAACCATTCATGCCTATTAAAGATGGGACCTTGAGCCCTTTTACAGAGAATTTGGTTCTTGGAAGATACACAAGGCCTTGGTATAATTTGCTTAGGGGCTGTAGCAACGATTCACAGGTTGTCTGCTCCCCAGGTGAAGTGTCAGGTAGGCTCTTCAACCCTGTTTCTGTCAGGGGATGCAAGAAGGAATTGCATTCTGAGGGTTGAACTGAAAAGATCCTTCAGAAGGGGGCGTGTAGTGAAGTCTTGTGGGCTGGGTTGGGTGAATAACAAAGGGATTCAGAGTCACATGGAGACCAGTGACACCCTTTGGCATTCTGGACCTGAAAAGACAAGAAACCCAAGGCCAGTGGGAGCTGGAGTCCAGGAGGAGGCAGCCACTGTCCACAGCTGTGCTGAAGCAGGAAGGAGCAGGGAATGGGCACCTGACTCCCTCCCTCCCTCCAGTTTCTTCCTTCATTGAATATTGTAAACTATCCCACAAGGGAGCCTGGGGTCCTCTTCAATTCCCTTCAGTTTCATGTCGGGAATCTGCCCTCACACTGCCCTATACTTAACAAAAGGAATGGAAAGCCTCTAGACCTTGTGTCTTCCTCTAGCTACCACACCCTCTCTCCTTCCAAGTTAAATTCTCCCAAGAGTGGATTGTACCAAAGCGCTCCTCTTTCTCATCTCCTATTTCCTCACCTCACTGCCTTGTGGGTGCCCCTCTCCTTGGCAGCTCGGTCAATATTCCCGAATGACCTCCTTGTTGCTGAATTCAAAGACAAATTCTGTTCATGTTTACTGATCCTCTTGGAACCATCTGATGGTGTTAACTTTCCCTCTTTCTTGAAATTTCTTCAAGGTCACTTTGTAGCACAGTTTCCAAGTTTTCTGCCTACATTCCTGCCCATTTTTCTCAGATATCTCTTCCATAGTCCTCCTCTTACAGACTGACGTTCTCTACATTACTCTCCTTGGCTGTTTGTCTTCTTTCATAAATTCCATCTCAGCACTCTGATGCACTCTTTTGGCTTCAACACCATCAATAGGTCAAAGTCTCTTAAATTTGTGTATCTAGTCCAGAAATCTCTTCAGGACTGGAGCAAAACCCCAAAAAAGCCCCACTGCCATTAAGTAAATTCCAATGCATAGCAACCCTAGATGGGGTTTCCGAGACTCAATTTTGACAGAAGCAGACAGCCTCATGTTTCTCTTTCAGGGTGGCTTTTGGGTTTGAACCACTGACCTCACAGTTAGCAACCCAATACCCAAACCACAGGACCAGATCCACGCACATACCACCACAACCTACATTCTGTAGCTCTCTTCCCTAGACCTCCATTCCTCCCATTTTACCTATGTAAGTCAAGAATACAATAACCCACACAGTCAGCCAAATGAAAAACCCTAGACTCAACTCCTGCATAAGGACAAGTTTTAAAATATTGCTACTAAGGTTCCGTGTATACATACCCGGGTCTATTACAAGCTAAACATGTTTACGCATGCCTTTGCCACCAGTGGATGGCTGCAGACAAGTTCTTTCAGTCACACTTTTATCTTTAGTGGCAGTATGGTGCCTTCAAAGAAAAGGTCAAATCCAAAGTATAGCTTCTAAGGGCATATGTTGGGCCAGTTAAATTCAAAGCAGAAAAGTCAGCTCAGAAAGTTATGGTGACTGTTTTAGGGAATCCCAAGAGGTAATCTTGATAGAATTTCTCAAAGGACACAGGATTACAAAGGGGCTTGTTATTAAGAAATTATATATATAATACCTTCATTGATGAAAGAAAGTCCAGGAAAGTTTTGCCAAGGGAATTTTTTCTCCCATAACAACAATATACCTCCTCTTTTTTTGTGGGTAGGTAGGCTCTTTTCATTGGGAACCTTTGCCTCATCAACCCAACATCCCTGATGTTGCCCCCTTTAGACTTATTTTTGTTCTCTAAACTAAAAAAAAAAAATTAAAAGAAACATGATATGAGTCCCTTGAGAATGCCAAAACTTCTGGGGTTTTTTTACATGATATAAGTTAAAAAGCACATATGTAACTATATTTATATATGACAATGGGGAAATAGATCTATGTGCATATATTTATAGGTTTAGTGTTAAGGTAGCAGATGGCTATTGAGTCTCCACTCAAGTACTCCCTCAATGCAAGAGCACTTTGTTCTATTAAACTGGCACACCATGATGCTCACCTTCCTGACACAATTGCTGAAGATGAAGCGGGTGCATAAGCAAATGTGGTGAAGAAAGCGGATGGTGCCTGGCTATCAAAAGATATAGCATCTGGGGTCTTAAAGGCTTGAAGGTAAGTGAACGGCCATCTATCTCAGAAGCAACAAAGCCCACATGGAAGACGCACACTAGCCTGTGTGATCACAAGGTGTCGAAGGGATCAGGTATCAGGCATGAAAGAACAAAAAATCATATCATTGTCAATGAAGGGGACTGCAGATTGGGGACCCCAAGCACATCAGTAGGCAACTGGACATCCTCTTAAAGAAGGGTCATGGGGAGGAAAAGAGTCAGTCAGGGTGCAGTGTAGCAACAATGAAATATACAATTTCCTCTAGTTCCTAAATGCTTCCTCCCCACTATTATGATGATCCCAATGCTATCTTACAAATCTTGCTAGACCAGAGGATGTACACTGGTACAGATAGGAACTGGAAACACAGGGAATCCAGGACAGATGAACCCCTCAGGACCAGTGGTGAGAGTGACAATACCGGGAGGGAAGAGGGAGGGTGGGGTAGAAAGGGGGAACTGATTACAGAGATCTACATATAACCTCCTCCTAGGGGGATGGACAACAGAAACGTGGGTGAAGGGAGACATCAGACAGTGTAATATATGACAAAATGATAATAATTTATAAATTATCAAGGGTTCATGAGGAAGGCA